AAAAAAAAAAAAAAACCGAAAATAAAAGAGGCAAATTGTATTTTTGCCTCTTAAAACTAACGAAGAAATTATGTGTGTAGCGAGAATCTCGAAAAAAAAAGAATCCCTCATCGTCGGACGAGAACGCGACATTAGAGGTTTACGAGGTGAACACTCGAGGGACGATTCGAAGGAATCGTTTGTCGAAAGTGGAGTGGCGCGAGAGGTGAAAATTATTCATAAATGTAGGCCGGTTCGCGACGTAGGCGAGCGTGTACGTAGGCCGAAGCTAAAATCTAGCGAATATTAAGGTAGAAGAGGTGCTCCCAAACCGCATAATAAACGCATAACGGTAATCCTTAAAACAATAATTAGCCGCGAGAGCCAACCAACAGGCGACCATCTTCCACCACCGGTGCGGTGCGGTGTGCACGAAATAACTACGCTACCACGGACTTTCGTAGTCCGTTTCCCGAATTAATACCGCGATTCGCGATGCGACTTACTCCACTACTACGATACAAATTACGATACGCGGGAATTTACACTTTTTTCTCGTTTTCGATTCACGCGTTCGATGTTCCTTTTTCCCGATGGGAAAAGGAATCGTCACGACGAAGGAGCGGATCAAGACCGATCGTTTAGATAATAAAATTAGAATGTAAAAATATCCATATATATTCTGGATCTAATTACGTGGATATATTCAGGAGTGAAAAAAATGTCACCGGTTTTGCAATGAACCGGTGAAAGTGCGGAGGTAGATAGGATCTTAGATATCCCCTCTTTGTCGTTCGTGAAAATGAAAGTTTCGAAAAGGAAGTCCGTGAAGAAGGGAGAAAGAGAAAAGAAGAGGTTTTGGACGGCGGAGGCCGAAGAGTGGAGGCAAGGCGAAGTGGTAATAGTTTTAATCCGGTGTCTTTGAAGTCGGGATTTGGTGGCGTAGCAGTTAGTGGCTGCTGGTAAGTCCAAGCGAACCCACTTCGCACTCTGATATCATAATCCGAATAATCACTATTATTGCCGTCATTTGCTTAATCCAAAGCTCGGTCGCTCGGTTTTCCACGCTTCGAAGCTTGGGATCTGTTGGCCGATGAGCATGCACCGAAATATTCACCGTATCGAAACTATTTTTTTTCCTCCATTTTTCCGCGAATATTTGTTCGCGAAAATTGCTCGTATTTTTTTTTTTTTTTTATTAGGAATAAAATAGAATAAAACGCGATTTATTTATTTTCCTCGTGGCGAATGATATGATGGCTCGTGATGGCAAACTATAACGTTTTCCATCGAGTGGAACTGCGATGGTATCGCGTACGTTTTGAACGACGTACATTTATACCTTGCCTTCGATAAAGTCGGGACACGGATTCGAATCGGGCGAGCGGAAGATCGAAATCGCGATTCATCGTGAGAAGAAGGTAAAGAGAGGTTTGGGATGGAACGTCTGAACTTTCGGTTCTTTGGGCGCAAATATCTGTCCGCGGTACTGGAAACTTCACGGGCAATAATGCATAAACTCCATTTAGGTATGTTTAAGCCGGGTGGAAGGAAGGAGACATTAAATCCCCGAGATTCGTTCTAATGGCTGCGACTCTCTTACAAAGTGTTCCGTGGCTCTTTTGCTTCGTACATTTAACGGGGGTTACGCGTGCGTTCCTTATAAATTCCCTCGATCCTCGGTGTGCGGTCGGGTGTCGGGAAGCAAAGTAGAATCGCTTAAGTGAAATAACGAAAAAACTTTAGCATAAACTGCCGCTCTTAATTTGACCAGTTTGTTCAGCTTGGCCCCGCGGTTCATGGGGCTAAACGTTTCGTTCGTTTCCGGAAAAACTTGGGAATTATGAATTAGCGGGAAGTCGGCAGGAAGGTAATGCATTTATTCCGGACTGGACTTATTATGAAATTATAATGCAAAAGACAAGTTGGAGAGAAACCACGGCTACCCTTTTACACCGTTGAATTAAGTAGCATCGTCGTCCATCGTAATTCGAATTAATTACAATTTTCCTCCCGTTCGTTCCCTCGCCATACCTTTCATCCGTCTCCCGTCTTTTAGCAGTTTTAACCACCGATATCCGATAAGAATTAACGACAAAAGATAACGACATCGAAAAATGACGTGAAATAATAATAAACGAATCGTGATCGATCGATTGGTCGTCGTTAAAAATACATATAACGTCACGTTTACAGAACGTTTACAAAACGAGTTAATTCCTTCGGTTTTTATTAATTTTCACACCATCGGAAAGATTCGTGCTCGCTAGTCTATTAGCCTATTTTGACCCAACCATCTATCCTATTTCTCTGTTAGGCTCAAGATGAAATTTTTTTTTTACGATCACAATTTACGATACCTTACAATGTTTCATTTTTAACTCAATTCGGATTCAATTTTCACTTTCTCTTAACGCCTCTTAATAACGACACATCGACTGTGTCACGTGTCAATGGATAATCCTCTGGAAATAGAAAGTCGAACTTTCTGGAAATCTCATCTAGGATACTAGGAGGCGAAAAATTGCGGAAAATTTCACTGGGAAATACGAATATACACGGGAAGTAGGGTACTACGCAGGTTGAAGAATTGGATCGGGCGAGAGGCAGGTATTGGAAAAAGTAGGAATGGAGAAACATGAGGTATAATCTCGAAACTCGCGGCTAATTGCGAAAGATTAGATAGGAGAAGGCGGAGATGCCGCCGTGACAGAGGTGGCGCGAAGGGTAATGTTACACAAGGCAGTAGTCTCGGTGGCATGTGTCGTTGATGAGGCGGTTAGTATTCAGCGGTGCTTTCCGAGCCTGGAACTTTTGAAAACTAACCGAGTAAAGCCACCTTAATTCCATAAGAGGGAGGCCAAAGGGGTTCGAGCGTCATCGTAACACCCTCTTAATTACAGGATATTAGGAGACGCCCACAGGAGCCACGGAGGTGCAGGAAGCCAGATAGTGCGATTTATTATTCGCGGTCTACCTTATCTCGCTTTTTAGGAGTCGGATTTCTTGGTCTGTAAACTTCCGCTGAAGGAGAGATTGATTCAGCGCGGGTTCGTTACGTTCATTTTTCTCGATTCGTTAAGAAAAACGAACGAATATGTTTTTCATTTACGTTAAATATTTATTTCATACGCGTATAAACACACACACACACACACACAGAGTCTTAAACTTATCTTATGCCTTCGGTAATAAAGTAACTATGATAGAGCGGATTTTCGGACCTATGTTAAGAAATAAGATTAATATATCGCGGAACATGACCGTCCATATATTTTTTTCTTTTTAAACAATAATAATATACGAGACAATAATTTACGAGACAAGCATCGAGCGTTATTTCAGGAATAAATATTATTATTAATTGGAAGCGAAATTAACGATTAGTTAGGCGAGAAACGAAGATCTCTCGGGATCGGCTTGATTTTATAATCTTTCGGGATTGTGAAAATCTCGATAATATGAATCTCAACAATTTGTAGTTGCTATAATATGTTTGAAGGAACGTGTTGTGACGTACGATCGTTCGTACGATTTTTGCGATGCGGTTTTAACGATTGATCGTTAGAAATTAAATCGTCGACCATATTCGAGCCATATTCGAGAGGGTACAAGGGTAATCGCGATTGATTCGAGAAAATATTTGTATCGTAAAGAAAATTGAATACATTATGCGATGATGATATAAATTTGATGGCAACTTACATGCAACGTATTTCTTTCTTTCCACCTTGAACGCGCAATCTTTGCCCCATCTCTTAGGAAGTTCCATGATGACAAGACCTAGATTACCCCATAATACCAGTTGCGTGCCAGTCTCGTTAATTAGTAGATGTTTTATTTCGAAAATCGGAGGATCGGTAGGTCGAAGTTTCTGAAAGGATAAAAGAGAAAAATAATTAATAATTATTTAGAGATTTGTTTATCGTCATCGATTCATCCTCGTCATCGTTTTACGCGTCAGAAAGATAAAAGGGGGAGGAGGAGGAGAGGGAATCGCAACGGTAATAAATGGTAAGTAGAATTGGATAAAAGTTTAATCGCTCGTACTCTTATCTCGACTGGTACTGCAATTTTAATTTTCGTACCGTAACGAGATAGGGGCGGTCCCTGAAATTCTACTTTCACCCTCGCCGCGCATCGTCTATCGATTAATAAACTTTATAATACGATCCTGTTCCTCGTTTGTTTTCCAGTTTGATTTTTATCACGGCGGTCCGGGAAAAGAGCAGGTGCACGACAAGCCTCCTTGCCCATGCCACCACCCTTACTCTCGGGATTTCTCTTTAACATCCCCTTGCCGCGATGCCTGCCACCCTCTTTCGCCTCGATATTTAATTTCGAACTAAGTTCGCGAACGAACGCGAACATCATTACAGGCCGGCATCCCCGTAGGTGGGGTATCGGCGCGTATCAAGGGGCAATTATTCTTTTACCCGAGGGTAGTTTTTACCAAGAACGAGACCCGATGATATCGAATGTACTTTTTCTTCCTTCTTTGATGCTTCTTTGATGGCAACCATGGAAATGAACTCGGGAGTTGGGACGATGTTTAAGAAAGATTTCTCAAATATCGATAGAAACGAGATTTCTTTTCGTCACTCCGATCGTAAAGTATGTTATATTATATTTATTTACTGCATGTTACGCGTATGAAATTTGTATCTATATCGTTCGAAAGAACGAAAAGTTGGCAAAGAGTAATATTCCTCTATTCGTTTTTTTAAATGCATAGAAATAACAATAATAATAATAGTAAAATATGAAATAAAATAAAAACGTACACCGTGCTATAGCGTAATACATTTTTTAACGATGATGGAACTGTTAAAAGGCTCGAAGAACGTACTTTTAAAAATATCAATTTCTTTCTTTCCGGACAAAGAATCTCGACAGCGACTAATACTAATACTACACTCCCCGTTCGCAAAATGTCCCGAGTAATAAAATCGTTTTTCGATCAAACCAGCTTCCCTTCTATCGCGTTTCATTTGCAGGGGAATAAAAGTGCGATGCTAAGCGCAGCGCAGTGTCAAGGAAAATGAGTGAGAGAGAGAGAGAGAGAGAGAGAGAGCCGAGTACGTTTAAAAGTTTTCTTCTCGTTAAGACTTGTTCTCTGGAGACCTCGGTGGTACGCAATGTGAACAAAAAGGAAAGAAAAAGAGAGAGGAAAAGTGTGTGTGTGTGTGTGTGTGCGCGCGCGCGTCCACCCTTGGTCCCTCTCATTCTCTTGCAGTTAGTAGAAACACATTTATTAACGGCAGCTCATCTCATCCCGTTGTTAAGTACCGGTAAGAGAGTGCTCTCTCTCTCTCTC